CCAGCAAAGGACCAGTTTAAACCAGCATCCCAGCGTCAAAACATACCTAACCAGCATATGCTGGTTTTTTCAACAGGGAAAGTAATTACACTAAAGAAAGAAAAACAACATGCACATACACAAATAAATGCAAAAAATCAAGTAAAACACATTAAAAGCACTCCAGAGTGCTCCAACCTTATTTCTTCAGTGGTTTTACCGGTGGACTAAAGGTCGTCACAGCGCCTCCTACAGGACGAGCGATGGAGTGAGAAAATAACAAGCGGTCAAAGTCGTCTTTATCTCAATAAAAAATACCATTGAGTTACAGTGGCGAATTCTCACTAGTTAGTTTATTCAAAACTTGGATCAAGATGATATGTATTTAGGTTAAATGAGGTATGATCTTATTTGTTAATCAGATGTCTGTAGAGCCGTTTCTCGCTCCAGCACAGACGGAGGCGCTATGAGGCTCCTCAGTGAGAGAAAAACACCACAGAACGAACGAAAGAAGAGCTTGCAGTTTGAACCCTGGTACGTGTTTTTAGTGCGTTTTACGCCATTTACCAGAGTTGTGTTTATTTGTATGTTCGATTTATATTCTTGATCTCTTTATGGGATTATTGATTTCGTTTGTGTATTGTTTTGATTATGTAAATTAAGCTATTTCCCCCTTTTTGTGCCGAACGCTACACGAGTTTATTAAATGCTTTCACAGAATATTAAAGCGTTCAATGAAGATTACGCATCATACAATATTTCTGCTTAACGCTAGCTCAGAAATTAAACTAAACATAAACGCCTAAACACATTTCTGAATGTTCTCCAAAGTCAAATTTATGTGTATTAATAGATCAGTTCTGCTCTTGTTGATAACCGTAAACAATCATTTTGAGGTTAAATCAGTGTCAGTTCATTATAAATGTGTCTTTAATAATGATGTGTTTGTGTTCAGATGTTGAGCATGAAAGCGCAGGTGGATGTGGTCTGCTGTAAATCAGTAGGAACTGATCTGTCCATGCTGGATATTGAGGATTTCATCACAGAAATCTGTCAGCTGAAGAAAGAGGTGGCTTCACTGGAGGCAAAGCTGAGAGAAAGAGGAGAGGTTTGAACAGATCATCATTTCATCTTTCACTTCAATAACTTCTAATTAAGTTCCAAAAGTCAACTGATGATTACAGTGTCAGATTCAGCTGATATATCTTGTTTTCTTCACTCTCAGGATCTAGTCTGGAGTGTCCGAGATCAGCCCACAGAGCAACTCTCTGATCGTAGGTCCAGAAACACACACGACTCAGAGCTCAGCCTTAGTTTGCTCTGTTATACTGACGCTCAGGAGAGCGTGTGTGACAGTCATGGATCCATTGACCACAACTCCACAGAGTCTCTGGCGTCTGATTGTAACGCTGGAGAACTGCAGACGCCAATGAAGACGTGCTCCGTTAAACTGGTGGACTGCAGGAATTCGAAGGAGACGAGAGAAGAAACCACTGCGGAGAAAGTACAAAGTGACGATGATGATGTCATTAATCCCTCGGGTATGTTTCTTCCTTTAATATATTATACTAACTGGTGCATCAACAAATGGTTTTACATGGTTTACAGTTCATTTAAAGTTTCTTCAAGCTTAAGGTGGCAGGTCCACATGGTTTTTGGCTTGTACGTACAATGTTACCTGTAGGAACACTCCATGACATGGTGAGGTTTATGGAGATGTTTGGGAGTGATCATGTTATACACAGACATATATTTTCAGAATTTATATTTGCTTTCATGTTTTGTGTGTTGGGGACATGCAAGTCAAAGTTAATAGAAATCTTACTTTGTTCCTCTCAGGTGAAAACACCAGTTCATCTTTTGATGTAGAAATGGCCTCAACATCCAAAGAGCAGCCGACGGCCAAGAGTTTCTCCTGCGTCACCTGTGGGAAAACATTCAGAAAACAGGGAAATTTAGCGAGGCATGAGAGAAAACACACAGAACCGAAAGCCTACACGTGTAAGAGATGCAACATCAGCTTTCCTACCTTAAAAGAAAGAACAGTTCATTCAAAAGAGCACAGGGTGAAGAAGGAGTTTCGCTGCGAACAGTGCGGGAAGGTTGCCTTCTCTTCTGGTAATCTGAAAATTCACATGAAGACGCACACTGGCGAAAAGCCTTTCCACTGCAGCGAATGCGACAAGTACTTCAGCACCAAACAATCTCTTCTTGTTCATAAGCGAATCCACACGGGGGAAAAGCCGTACAAGTGCCCTCACTGCGAGAGAAGATTCAGAGATGGGTCCCATTTCAAGACACACATGCGTTCGCACGCCAGCGAGAGGCCGTACCAGTGCAGCGAATGTGGGAAAACCTTTAAGCAGCCCATTTGTCTAATATCACACCAAAAAATACACTCTGAGAAACTGCACCAGTGCACACACTGTGACAAACGCTTCCGTCAGATCTCTCAGCTGAAACGCCACGAGAGAATGCACTCTGGAGAGAGACCGTATCTGTGCTCCCACTGCGGGAAGAGCTTTTCCGATCCAGCTCATTTCAGAGTCCATCAGAGAATTCACTCTGGAGAAAAACCGTACCAATGTAGTGTTTGCGGGAAGAGTTTCCGTCAACACACTAACCTACTGAAGCACCAGAGGATTCATAGCGGAGAACGACCGTTCAAGTGTTCTCACTGTGACAAGATGTTTGCTCGATCAGACGTCCTGAAGATCCATGAGCGAGTTCATACAGGAGAGAAACCTTACTCCTGCTCCATCTGCAGTGAGAGATTCGCTTATTTAGGGGGTTTTCAGACCCACCAGAACAAACACGCTAAAGAACAAACTGCTCCAGAATCATCATAGCGGCTTTCATCAGTCAGTCTCTGGAAACAGGACTCATTTAGCTTATCCTGAAACTGTATATTGAGTTTTTAATGCCAGTAGGAGGCAGAGTCACATTGAGCTTTCATGTGAATTGGGAGTAGAGATGGACTGAATGTTGAATGCTGTGATTGTAGTCGTGCAAACAGCACTTATTCAAATGTAGTTATATATTTTCACCTTTTTTTTCCCCAAGCAACTTTTAAATCTTTTAAATAATTTTATGATATTATAGCAGATGTTTGCCGGTGGGGACGTACAATAGCCGAGCAGCTGCTATTGCGATATATGGGACTACTAATGGATAGCTTTCTGCAAGTGTATTAGACCGCCTTGATATGCACTAAGAAAGAAATTGTGAGAAAAAATGGAAATCATTGGTAAATGTAATAAATTGCATGTGATAATGTGTTAACTTGGACATTCTGAACATATATTGTTTTGGAAACGGCACACTCAAGCCCTGGAACAAAGGTAATAATGTTTTATTATTATTATTATTATTATTTTACGACCAGAATCAAGCAAATATGAGTCTGTTAAATGGGTATAGAATCACATAATTAAGCGTTATATTCTACACCAGGGATCCTCAAATCTGGCTCGCGAGATCCACTTAGCTACAGAGTTTAGCTCTAACCCTAATCAAACACACCCGAGCATGCTAATCAATGTCTTCAGGATCACTAGAAAATCACAGGTAGGTGAGTTTGATCAGGGTTGGAGCTAAACCAGATTTGAGGATCCCTGTTCTACACACACACTGTGTGTAGAGGAAGGTTGGATTCATAGTTAAATAGCAATTTTGCATTCAAAGGGGTCATATGATGCTTTTTTTAAAGATCATTATTTTGTGTATTTGGTGTAACAGAATATGTTGACATGCTTTAATGTTCAAGAAACACATTATTTTTCAAATACTGTACATTATTGTAGGTCCTCTATGCCCCGCCTCTCTCAAACGCTTCGTTTTCTACAAAGTCCCTCCTTCCGACAAGCGCAGTCTGCTCTGATTGGCCAGCTGACCCAGTGCATTGTGATTGGCCGAACACCACAAGCACGCGTCGGAAATGTAACGCCCCTTACCATAATCGCGAGCTTCATCTTTCAAAATAAATGTGAAGACAGTAAATAATGTCATTAGTTTTCTAGAAACACACAGCTTGTCCCTGACATGGCTGCTTCAACACTAACTGCGATTACTGAAACCACACCGCCTTTCTTTGCGTGAACATTTGGGCGCATTATGCAAATATTTCCACATAGTGAGGTAGCTATGTGGGGGCGTGTTAGAACGAGCCGTTTTAGGGGGGTGTGGCTGACTCTTAACTTTTATAAAGAATATCTCTTTGGATTTGAGACTTTAGTCTTTGCAACTTTACAGATCTTCTTTATGCACCAAGAGCTTGTAACACTCCAAAGAGAAAGGAAAAATTGAAATCGCATCATATGACCCCTTTAACATCAATTTCTCATTCTTAAATCAGTTGAGGATGAATCATATGTTTTAGGGAAGGAGGGACACCTTGTGGTTGGAGTATTTCACATACTGGTAACAGTCAGAACAGCAGCCAAGAAACAACGACGTGACCTGAGGAGGAATGCAACAGAACGCATTGAAAAGTTGTTCTAGTTTTTAGGAAATCTAAAGAACCTTTAATGTCTTCTTGTAGGCGGAACACATGACAGGAGATCTACAAGTGCTATTGAAAGAGCTAAAGACTTTCAGCACGTGAAGTAGCAGTCGGCTAGAGACTTTTTCTTTGGGAATTTCTTATATCACGAACCTTAGAAAAGCATACAAAAATACATAAAAACTGCAGTTTGCGGTTTCCTAACATGGAGCTGAAATGGGCACTTCTTTTAGGTGAGTGGATGTTGTCTTACTCTGTTCACGTGTGTGGTGGTGAATATATTTGTGACATACTGAAGTTGGATTAGTACGTTAGTCAGACTTCTGGGAATATATGTGTGGGAGGCCGTAAGAACATTAATGTGTGTGTGTGTGTGTGTGTGTTAAAGATTATCTTCGATTTCCGTTGTAGTAATCTAAAACCAGAGAGACATCCAGCATGTTGTTCACACCAAGTATCTTATACACGGACACACAGAACAATGGATAGCAAGAATGATAACGACCTATGAGGAAATGATTGTACAATACTGTGAGGTTTTTTTCCCCTAAAAAGTGAACCACCCACACGGATCCTGATCCAGTACTGGTCTGATTCCAGACACACCTACAGAGATTTCGTTTGGTCTGATTTCCACTGTTTCCCAGACACTTTCGTAGTCGCATCATTTCTGCCCGCCTTCAGTTCTGTTCTTTGGAAGGGCTTAAATGAGAGTGGAGGCCAGTGCAAACATGTCCCTCACCAAAAGTCATCTGTCTGAAGAGGAATATACAAGTTCTGTCGTCAGCATCTAATACATGCTGCATCGACTCGTCACAGAAGCAGTTTGACTATTTAAACAGGAGTTTTTCTTTAAACTTCTGTTTTAAATGTTGTGCAAAATGCAATTCAGAAGAATGCCAGCGTATGTAAATATGACAGTTTATGATTACAGGCATAAGGATCAAGGTTCAACAATTTTGTTGTCTGCCCTCGTAAGAAAGAACAAAATATAGGCTATAGTTTGTCAAAGTGGCAGTCAAAATTTCAATTGCACGATAGCAATAATAATGATCTACAGATTTTATCTTAAACAGATGAACTCTTAAGACTCTTAACTCTTCATTGTATGTAGAAGTAGGCTAAGTTTAGCAAACATTAACAATATTTGGATGAGGCAAAAATCAGCAATATCTTACCACTGAACATTACAGTTTGGTGGGGATCTCTGCTTCTCTCTGTCTTTTGTACGCTTAACATCCCTTCAACCAGACAAAATCGATTAATTGCATTCACTTCTAAAATAAATTATTCAAAAGAGAATATGAAACAGCAAGGCGATTAAAAGGAATAACCGTTCGGATGAAAAGTGCAGGGACCGAGAGCAAAAGCACATTGCATTCTTTGTATGTTTTCCCCCCACCCATGTTGAAAAAAACAGCATATGCTGAATTCTTTTATAAAAACAAGAAAGAGAGGTCTGGAGTTTGAATATTTGCATCTGTGGATGTGAAATTTAGCAAGAAACAAAATCAGATTCACTACATAAAACTCTTTCCTCTTAGATTGTTCATACTCGATAAAACCCAATACTACGTCCTTCCGAAACAGAATACATTCATTATAAATGTTACTCCTAATGAAACTTATTGTACATAAACACAACAACACCGCCTGCATCAGCATGAAGCACGTGTATGTCTTTTTGTCCACTGCAGATGTGGATGAGTGTGTGTCCTCAGTGTGTGGAGTTCACAGCAGCTGCTTTAACACACCTGGAAGTTTCCTCTGCGGCTGTTCTCCAGGGTTTCACAGACATGAGAACGGCACCAGCGGCCCCTGTGAAGGTGAGGGCCAGAGTCCTGCTGCTGCTAATAATACTGATCTCAACATCAGTCACATCAAATGTGTGTCTAAAAATGTGAAAATCTCATCTTCTTTCTCTCTCAGACATCAATGAGTGTTCAGATCCAGATGTTTGCGGCACAAATGCAGACTGCTACAATCACTTAGGTGGCTACAGCTGCAAATGCCATGAGGGTTACAGTAACTATGGCAACAACCAGTCAAAATGCATAGGTGAGCATTATACAGCATTATTTGCTTCATTTTAAATGCACAGATGCATTTTTAGGTTGTTCTATTCATTATGCGGCAGCTGCTGAGAATCTTCAATCAGTGTTTTTGCTGTTTATTATTGTTTTATCTTTACTGTGGTTGTGCACAGAAATGGACTGCGATCAGTTTGAACCCGAGTCTGATGGAGACCACACACCAAAGAAGGTAAAACGTGTACTTCTCCTTAAGATTATTATTGTTCGATATACGGTCAGACTCATATACTTTGATTTGCATGTGTCGTCTTCTAGTTGAAGCATTTGATGTCACTGTTGAAGAACAGCTGTGAGTCTCTGAATGATCCACGTGGAGAACGTTTCACTGGAGAGAAATTGTTGGAGGTGAAACACACGCTGCACGATACAGTATATACTCGGATTGTAGTTTGTGATCATGCACTCGCACAGTGGCTGAATGAACGTCTCTGATTTATTCCACAGGACTTGTGCAGTTCCTCTGACGAGCTGCTGTCTGATGGAAACATCGCTGACGGGAAGACTCTGAATCAGTTTCTGGACGCGGTGGAGAGCAGCATGCGTCTGATCGGACCTCAGCTGAGAGAGCCTGTGACCAGGATGGAGACACACAACACCTGTGAGAAACCGTGTTTAGAGACACTGTGGTACTGAATGGAAATATTACAAATAAGTCATTTTTGTTATAAACATAGATTAAGACTGAAAGCAGTTGTTCTTTATGATCATGTGAATCACAGTCGCTGAGGTTGCAGTCATGAAGAGTCAGACTCCGCCCAGTGGGCGTGTCTCTCTGAGCACAGACTCCGCCCTCTTCAGCACCAGTTGGGAAACAGTTGTAGGAAAATCATATCCAGGTACAAATAAACACGTGCACATATATGTACTTATGAAGCCATCAGCACTTTCATGACGAGATGTAAATGTTCTCTTGTTCACAGGTTTTGCGTTTGCGGCTCTGGTCAGTTATAAAGATCTGAACTCATCCAGTGACCTGCTCCACAAGATGAGCAGCGAGAGATCAGACGATAAAGAGAGAAGCGTCACTTATCAACTCAACTCTAAAGTGGTGACGGCTGTCGTCAGTAATGCAGAAACCAAGCAGCTGTCAGAGCCGGTGACGCTCGTCTTTACACACGTGGAGGTGAAGATACTGACAGACCAGCTTATGACCAGCACAAGAGCTCTCTGGAGACTGTTTCTGTTAATGGTTTAACAGTTAAAATGAAAAAGTACCATGAAAATGTGTGTTTCCCGTTTGAAAACCCAGTATAAGCTGGATTACAGCTGGTTGATGAGCTACCATGTTTCAAAACCCAGCTTGAACACCTTAAGCTGGTATGACCAGCTGCTTGCTTGCTTGTCCAAAATCAGTTTGAGCCAACTAAATCCAGATCAGACCAGTAGAAAACCATCTACCATGTTCCAGACTTAAGGCCCATTCACACCAAGAATGATAACTATGAAGATAACTATATTACCGTACACACCAGCAGACGATATCGTCTGTTTATTCTAAGTGCATGCACGTCTGCCACTTTAAATTCTCCCGCTCGTGACAGCAGGATTGATTCTGATTGGCTGTCAGTGTTTTTTGCCGATCATCAGCTGGAAAAAATCATTATGAAAATGATTCCAACGTTATCATTTCTCTTTGATTTAATCATTATAGCTGTGGTGTGGGCTCTGCAATTCTTTAATATTAAGAACAATTTTTAGAACTATATCTTTATCGTTATCTTTATAGTTATCCTCCTGGGTGTGAACAGGCCTTTACACTGAAGTTTAAAGAGATTGTTTCCTGCCGTACTAAAATGCATTTACAGATTAGAATTTTAAATATGAATCTATGACTCTACAGAAATGTATAAAATATGACTAGGAATTATAAAATGTTTGCAAATTAGTGCTGTCAAGCGATTAATCGCATACAAAATAAGTTTTTGTTTACATAATGTGTGTGTACTGTGTATATTTATTATGTATATAGAAATACACTCATACAGAATATATTTTGAAAATATTTACATGTATTTGCATGTATATACTTATATTCATGTAGTTTATATTTAATATATAAACATAATATATTTCTCTTAAATGTGTGTATATATATATTACGTAAACAAAAACCTTTATTTTGGATGCGATTAATCGAGATTCATAGTTTGACAGCACTACTAAAAATATATGCTTTGTGTACTTGCAAAGCATCTTCAGAAGCACTGACCTGCGCTGGTTTATTTGCTGCTCAGAGCAGCATTAACTCTGTGTGAAGGCAGCTTAGTTCTTTCCTTTTGTGTTAGTTTCCGACCTTTTTCTGAACTTTTCAGGCAGGTGTTCATATGTTCCTCGTTTCCTGAACTCTTTCCGAGACTCTTGTTCTGTCTTGTTCAGGAGAGGGCGGAGTCTGGGGGCGTGGCTTACTCCTGTGTGTACTGGGATGAGGCGGAGGGGGCGTGGTCTGGGCGGGGCTGTGAGAGGGCGGAGCCTAACAGCACTCATACAGTGTGTTCCTGCTCTCATCTCAGTAGCTTCGCTGTGTTAATGGCTCTCTATCCTGTCCAGGTACATCTCTGAGCCAGATTTCGCATATTTAAGATTTCAGATTAAATGATGATATTCATCCCTCCATCTGTCTGTTTTTTTCCTCTCTTCCAGGACTCGTTTGATTTGGTGGTGATCACACAAGTGGGTTTAGTTCTGTCTCTGGTCTGTTTGTTTCTCTGTATCCTGACGTTCCAGTTCTGCCGCTCCATCCAAGGAACCCGGACCAGCATTCATCTTCATCTGAGCATCTGTCTCTTCATCGCAGACCTCGTCTTCCTCTGCGGGATCTCCAGCACTCACAATGAGGTGTGTTTGAGTGCAGTAACTCCAGCTAACGGAGCATTCTCAGAACTTTGGCTAACATTCCGGAAAGGTTCTCTCAAAGTTATGAACAAACATTCTTCCCGTAACGTTAACAGAACATTTTGCTCAAAGTTATCTGCTCTTGAATTATGCTCTCAAAACATAAGCACAAAAACATCTTTAACTCATTCATGGATCGTTTTTTCTGAAACATTTGTAGGTGGACGTTACTACGTATTTTAGAACGTTTAGAAAACATTCAAAAGTAACATTCCTGTAATGTTTGCAAAATGGTAAAAATGGAATGTTGATATTCGCGTAACCAAGAAAAAAAAAACATTCTTAAAAAATTAGGAAGAATCAATCATTTCTGAGTAATTTACTGGTATTGTGTGAATAACTTTGTGGATGTAATCCACAAAAAGTAACTGTAATCTGATTATGAGCATTTTAAAAGGTAATATAATCTAATTACGAGTACTTAATGTAGATTGCATGTAATCAGTTACTACCCAGCACTGGTAATACATAAACTAACACTTATTGCAAGCAAACCGGAGAATGATCTGAGGTGTGTTTCTCTCTCAGGTAGCGTGTGCGATTGTGGCCGGTCTGCTTCATTTCTTCTTCTTGTCTGCGTTCTGCTGGATGCTGCTGGAGGGGGTTCAGCTCTACCGGATGGTTGTGCTGGTGTTTCACACCACATTAAAACATCTCTACATGTATTTGCTGGGATACGGAGTCCCTCTCGTCATCGTTGCCGTCTCTGCCATCGCCTTCCCAAAGGGATACGGCACCGATAGACAGTGAGTTTCTGCATCCAGTGCTGTTCAGCTGTAGAAGTGTGTCTGCAGTAGGCATTATATATCACTCTGGTATGCATTTTGACCTCAAAGTACACTGGCATGATTAGTCACTCTAAACTACGCAAAAAAAACCTGGTGATACCTCTGTCCGCGCACAGTATTCAAAACAAGCAACAGCAAAAGAATGAAGAGTTCAACCAATCATAGCCAATTTTTTTGGTTTTGCTTTTAAATAATTACCGTGCGTTTTATTTCTCTCCAAGCTGGCTCTGCTTGTGTGTGCACTGAGATGAGGACACATCTGAGAAAGCAACACACGCCAAGCATCTTGCCTTGTAATGACTTGTAATGCGGAGCGTTTCTAAACCTGTTGTCCAACAAAAGAGAACATTATAACATGCTTTTATAGACAAATGTGTAAAATAATTTCCTTCCTGATCTGATGTGGCTTCTTATCACATGATGACGCAGAAATACATTCTATATACTGTAATAAAGACTATGTTGATTAGCGATTGATTATAAATATACTTAATTATGAAAATACCCGAGGTGGTTTTAAGAACACATATAAACATTGTCACAGTAGAGTGTTTATTGTCTTAATGTTCTTTTTGAATGCCATCTTTCAAAGCATTTCTGTCTTCTTTTGCTCAGTTACAGCAATATATAGCTGGAAGATTTTGTCCATATTAGGGATTTCCTGGAGCGTCCTGAGTTCTATTACTTCTGTGACGCATATGTGGATTTTCTGCGAGTGCGCCCTCTGGCGTCATGAAACAGACATTACATTTGTTTATAGCACTAAATAATGGGCAATCCATAAAAATATTACTTCTCTCAAAAGAGATTTAAAGTAGACATATGATAATAATGTTTTCCTACAGTATACAGAAGTGTACTGAAATTTTAATTAAAGTGTACTGGATTTTTTTTTTTTTAATTTGCATTTAAAAATAGCAAAAAAAAGAACTAAACCGAAAACTGTGATTAAAAAACCAAGGTATTTATTGAACTGTGGGCTAACTACTGTTTACTCTTAAATACTGTATAACAGGAATAAACTCACAAACTGAGTGCAGACCCTGAGTACCAACCTATGAAAAATATTTAACATTAAATATTTATATTTACACTGATGGTTTTTCCAAGGTTGGCAGGTCTGCTTTTATCAGTAGTTCATATTTAGGCTTCAGAAACACTCCTTCAGCTGCCTCATGGTCGAACGTCAACTCAGGAGCTGTAAATCCAGTTGAATCATTCACAGTCTCTGACACTGCACAATAATAAGGCCAGTGCCGTTCCAGTATATGTTATATACAATGTGTTATCATAATAACCTTCAGCGGCGGGTGACGTGTTTCTGTGCCTGCAGTGACTGTAAATGACAGAATAGGAGGAAGAGACAACAGCAAGATCTTATCAAGATTCATCAGTTATAAAATAAGCAGTCTGACTGCACTTTCTGTGGAAGAGCAAAGTCAGTAGGGTGTGACTGTATGAGGGTTTTTGTCATTATTAGATTATTATCATTAACTAAAACGAAATCTAAAACCTTGAAAAATATATTCTTGAAGTAACCGTTAACTGAAATATAAGAAGGTTAAACATTTTATTTCAGCTAGTAGCATTTTTCATTGTAATACTAAATACTAAAACCGAAATAAGTATTAATAAAAACTTGTATAGAAATGCTAAAATTATAAAAAGTGTCAAATGGAGAATATTAAAAACGAATTCAAATTATTAATACAAACTATATATTTAAAATAAAAAGGACAAAACAACAAATTTACTAAAACTTTAAAATGAAAATATAAAAATAAAAACTAATTTTAAAATATTAATTAAAAACTATAATAGTATATCAAGGACACCAAAATAGCACTGGATGGTACACGTTTTAATACAGTCAGAGGTAGGGATATGCCGGTATCAAATTTTCATGTTGCGATTAATTACTA